GGAGATATAAGCCACATGCTGCAACTAGGAAAAAACAAACTCAAGCCAAGAAAAAGCTGTTTGGCTTGGTAAAAATCTTGCAAGGGGAGAAAAAAAAATTATGGGTTTTGTACTTTGTTGGTGTAGCTTCCTCTCTCAGATGTTTTAATTATGGCTTGTGCAATATTTATGTTACAAATAATAGTATTACTAATCCGAAGTATGTAGTAGTAATTTGATTATACGTGGAACATTGTGAGCAACAATTTCCAACGAGTTAATAGTTTGAACATTGTGTCACAAAGTTGAAAGATGGAGTTATATATCCAACGAGATTTCGGGTGATCAACATTTTGTAGAAACAGTTTCCACAAAATAGTAGTTAAACATTCTCTTGGTCCAAATTCTCCAAAAAAATGTCATAGAGAGAAGATAAATCTTGGCATATAGCTCAATTCATTTTCCTCTTTGGAGATTATCTACAGTTTTAATTGTTCTTAAAACATCATTATGTTCAGGAACGGTTCAAAAAATGCCAAAAAATTTTTGGATCCTGTGCAAAAATTTTAATTGTTTTTTAAAAATGGTCTATATTTGCTAAAATCTAAAATTTTGAACCTTTTTATATATAATTTTAATAACTTTTGGACCCTAAATTACAATAAAAATTCACTAAAAAAAATAGGCCATGTGCGGTTGCACACCTTGCACACCCTCAGAACCTCCCCTGATTATGTTACCAATGTTGTAGTTTTAATTCTTTAAGTTTCAAACCTACAACTTTTTTTACCAATCATGTTTTTGCATTAATTCTCTAAGCTACAACTTTTTTAATTTTTTTAAAGTTTTTTTTGCTGTAACATGTAAAATCTTACAGCCCTATTTTTATGGCTGTACAAACTCTTATTTTTTTTTTTCTAAAATCACGTTATACACTTTTATTATGATTATTTAGTTAAAAATTCATAAAAACAAATTTTTGAGAGAAAAAATATAGATGGAAGGATTTTAAAACAAAATTGTGATGAATCTATGGAAAAGATAAAATCAAAAGTATTATGAATTATTCTATCAATCACTAAAATATTTTTATATTTTAAATACATTTACCAAAATTATTTAATTTTAAAATGATATTTTAATTTTTTTTTAATTGTCCATTTTAAAATAATTTAGAAGTTCATTTTTATTGCATTGAAAATTACATAAAGTTTCTATAAACTCGATTATTTGTATAATTAGTACAAAACATTTTATTTTCATAAAATTAGTCGATTTAATTAAAATTATAGCACATATCTTATGTTTACCAATCATGTTTTTATTTTAAAATAGTTACAGCTATAACTTAAATAGTTACAGCAAAAAAATCTGCAGCAAAAAAATCTATGGCAAAAAAATGTACAGCTACAGCCAAAACACTTATAGCAAAAATTCTACAACAATTAATCTATAGTTACAGCCGAACCAATCACTCACAAAATAGTCTTTTTCTGATTTGTTCATTGAGTGGTATTAATTAACTCTATTGTACTTATATAGGAAAAATCAGAATCTACTGTTAATCTAGATTCTCGAAGTGTACTATATACACGTGTTTGTGTGTAAATCTACCTATACGATAAGATAATTAAAGTCAATATTTATATCTTATTAAAATCATCAGATTTAAAGTACTTATGTTTTTATTGCATTTATTTATGTTGATGTTGTTTAACATCTTTTGATATATAAAACCATGTCCATTGGAGGTTCTAAACTTAAAAGCCCAAAAAATAAATGAAAACTGATTTAATAGCCCATAACCGGTTCTTATTTAAGAACTTCCAAAACCCTTAAAAACTTTTATGTGGCAAGATGTGATTGTTAAGAATTGGTAAAATTGTTAAGAACTCAAGTAGGAGTTAACCAATGTACATGCTTTAAGATGATGACACATGACCTAATCTTTACTTATGTAATACTTATTAAAGTTTTGAATATCATAATTTAATGATCAAGTTATGGGTTCGATTTCTGCTTGCCGTAGGCAAAGGATTGATTTACAATATTAGGTCTACAATCCAAAGAGATTATGTGTGTCAAAGGTCCAAAACTACTCAAATTGTTTTTAAAAAAAAATATATATCATACTTTATTTTATAGGTTAATGAAGTAGACGCTTTCCGGATCAAAAATAGGTGCCATATGCCTTTTAGTATCTTTATCGTCATCCATAGTCTTCTTACTAAAAACCTAGTCGCTAGTTTTGATCTTATCTTATACACTAAAAATTAACATTTTGTTGGAAACAGTGTAGAGAAATATCATAGAGAGACTTTGACAACTCGTATATTATATTAGTCAAAGATGTTTATAAATTATTATTTAAATTTATCAAAACATTTAGATATGAAATGATATTTGTTTACGGACAACAACATAGGGGCTTTGGACGGTCATCACAATGGCCACCAGGGAAATTTCCAGTGAGGCAAAAGTTTAGACAGTGCTTTTGCGAAACACATGGTCCAAAACATATTGTTATATATCTTCGGCTTTTCTTTTGGGCGTCGTCAATCTTGTTGCTTCTACTTTCTCTACATTTTCAGTCATAACCAAAACAGAAAAAGAACATGAAATTATCATAAACAAAATATAAAATATTTCTTATTACTTTCATCAAATAGATAAAATTGAGATGTGCATCTCATAAACGGACTAACCTTGAATCAAGAGAAAGGGGATGATTATTGAAGTTAATACTGTGAAACTCATGAATCCAATCTTGCCATTCTTCATTTTCTGTTTTTTTTTGGGGTCAATATATCACTATTGCTTTGTCTTTTTTTTTTTTTCCGTCTAACAATCAATAGGAGATTACAAAGTCAGTATATAGGATTTTCGGAAAAAAATTGATTACATAAGCAAGTATATGCGCCATATTGTGAAAAAGATACATTGAAATAAGTGAATTTGACGACACTTTCCGTAGACAAGCCTTACTCGCAAACGAAATGAATTCATTTTTTTCCTTCTTCGTACTCGATCTTGCTCTGATGCAAATTGTGTGTGTGAGTAGCATCTCTTGGCTAAACCTCTGAATTTCACACGCATAAAAGACCCGATGTTTTTGGCAATAGTTCTGAAATATCGATCATCTGATACCAAAGCTTCCGCATCATAGTCATATTAAAGTAATTTGACATTGATTTTCTCCCGATTCGATCAAAATTATGTTTGATTTTAGACTCCATCTTGAGATCTAAGCATAATCTCAAAATCTTCAGACTTACACTCCAGTCCAGTGTAGTAAGTCCTTCAATGAAAGCAAATTATGTAACCATTCATAAACGATGACACGAACAATATAGCCATCATCATGGTGAGACATATAAGCACTTATAATCGCAGAAGCATCAAAGGCATGACTTCGTCTCCGTCTCCACGGTGGTTTCCATGGTGGTCGAATCCCAAGCAAAATCATGAAGATTWGCTCCATAAATTGTAAAACCAAATAATCAGATCCACCGTAAATTATAATATCTAGCGGAGGAAAAACACCGACGTATGTGGGAAAGAGACCACCGATAATTGTAAAGATACACCACCAATCATCAAATGGAAAGAACTTCTTCTTCGGAGAAGAKATACCTCTAAAAATTCTCACAAACCTTTTGAGATTTCTCTTTTGCTCAGTCATTGAAGTCAAAACAAACAAGTTGGTGAGACGGCAAAGGGAAATATCTAAAGAGAGTGAGATTGCACATTTACAATTTGATCCGTCTTGATTTGCAATTTTGCATTGATTGTTATATCTAGAAATAATGAAAATTTACTTTTATCTTTCTCTTGTGTTATTTCTCTCTTTTATACAAATAGAAAAAAATCTACTGTTAATCTAGATTTTAATAGGTAAACTAATCTCAATTGATTGGTGTGACTACACGATTACCCTTAATAATTACCCTTAATATTTATTCCATTTATTGACATTGCTTAGTGCTTACAATCCAAAATGTTCGTTTTCTTTTTTTAATTTCCTTTATATATATATCATCATCGATCAACAAATCTCGAAACTAACCACAAATTATATAACTCGTCTCAGAGTTTTTTTCCTCACAAACTGTCGTCTTCATTACCGTTTGCGCACGACAATATACATAAACTAAAGTAATTTTTCACCAACATTTCTCAAGATTTATATCTGAATAAGGCCAACTATAACAAGAAAACACACAAGATTTGAATATGGACGATAATCGCATAGAAGAAATGTTCAAAAGTGGAATTCGACCCATCGTGACGTGAGTATCTTTTATCTCACACGACAAATAATTGATCGTCATCCAATTTGGTTTGAATGTTGTCTGTCTTGGATTTCAGGTATATATATGGCAAAGTTGGTTCGAAAGAAGTCTACTCAAGAATCATACATCTCATACTCATCACTGCATACGCAATGCTAATTTATCAGATTTATTATAAATATGGTTTCTCTATCGACATGTTTGGTGGTGCAATAAGCTTCATCATGATTGGACTCACTTCAACTTTAATTGAAGTCATGTTCATATTGTCTAATCAACCGTTGTTATATGTCATCGCAGCGGGACATGTCACATTTTTGGTCGGATATCTTATACTCCCACCTTTCATGATCCGATCCAATAATACTTTGATTTTGGTATATGTTTTTGTTGGTGTATCATTTGGATATTGGTGTCTTTTCTTGTTGTTTCTTATTTTCATTACACACACTCTAAAGAAAAAACGACTTCTTATACCAACCGATATGGTTTAATTAGGATTATTTATTGATGGGTTCATAATTAGCATGGTACATACTCTT